ACACATAATAAAGTGCTGATAAACATCAGGCATCTCTGAGGCAGAGCAGTGGAGCTTTCCTGGTGTGGCACAGGGATGTTTGGAGATGGAGGAGCTCAGGCATGACCTGTAACCTCCCTGTACCACAGTCTGACTGAGTGTGAGGTGCTCCAGGGGCTTCTCTTGCCGTGGGTTGTTCTTACTGGGTTCATTTTCCTTTCTCGTGCCTTTGCAACCCCTGAAGTTTTGCAGATGTGTTGGACTCCTGCCTCCCTCTCTTCCATGGTTCATTCCCTGTGTCCTTCTTTCCCCAGGTGGCTGTGACAGCACCATTAAGGTCTGGGATATGGTCAAACACTACTGCACACACAACCTGAAAGGATCCTCTGGAGTGGTACAGTAAGGAGGAGTTGTGTCTGTCAGTCCCTGCCATTCGTGGGGTGCTGGGATTGACCTGGAATATCTTGAGTTAATGGAATAGGAAGGCCCACTCCAAGCAGGTTCTGGGCTCTTCTCCCTGGTTTTGGGGAGCAGGGCTATGACTGGATAAGAGTTTTCATACAATCACAGGATTGTTCAGGTTGGAAAACGCCTTTCAGATCATCGAGTCCAACCATGAACCAGCAGCACCATGTTCACCACTAACCTCAGATTCCAAATGGAATCCCTGTGCTTGCTGGCTGGTGTGCTCCAAGAGCATGGAAACACTGGCAAAGACAAATAGTAAAGTCTTCTGGTGGGTGGCAGAGGAATGAGATCCTACAAAGAAAGTCTCTTATAAATCCGTGTCAATTGATCTCTCCTGGAATCCTGGAATTATTTGGGTTGGAAGGGACCTTAAAGCTCATCTCACTCCACTCCTGCCATGAGCAGGGACACTTTCCACTATCCCAGGCTGCTCCAAGCCCATCCAGCCTGGCCTGTTGACCTGTGTAAATGTGTCTTTATTTAGATGCTGGGCCAAGGCCAGCACTGCAGGTGGTTCATTCCTGTCCTGTTCCTCTCCCCCTGCCCAGCCTGGTCGAGTTCCACCCGGACATCTCCCGCCTGCAGCTCTTCTCCTCCTCCATGGACTACAAAATCCGCATCTGGGACCTGAATTCCAGCAAATGTGTGGCTGTGCTGGATGGGCACTTCAGTGCTGTCACCTCGCTGGCGTTTGCAGATGGAAACACCCTCCTGAGGTACCACCTGGGTACAGGGGTTTGACCTCTGTCCTGTTCACCCCCTGCCAGGGCTGGGTGATTCCAGAGGGTCTGGGAGGAGGTGACTGAGGGTCTTGGCACCTTTAGAATGGAATCCTGGAATGGTTTGGGTTGGAAGTGACCTTAAAAGCCGTCCAGTCCCACCTGCCAGGGACACCTGCCACTGTCCCAGGTTGCTCCAAGCCCCATCCAGCCTGGTCTGTGTTCCTGGCATAACGCTCTGCTGGCACAGGGAATGCTGGTGCTCTTTCCCATGGCCTCTCCAGAGAGGTGTTGAACTCCCACAGTGCCAGATTTGCACATGGATTTGGCACTGAAACACCTTTTCCTCTGCAGCTCTGGCCGTGATAAAATCTGCCTGGTGTGGGACCTGGAGAGCAGGGAGAGCAAACGAACCATCCCCGTCTACGAGGTGAAACTGGGGTTCATTTATTCCTTTGAGATCCTTTTGTAGTTTCCAGGTCGTGGTCCCACAGTAGCTCTCCCTCTTCAGGTTCTGTGTGTTATGAAATGAGGTTTCTCTGCCCTCCCAGAGTTTTTGGCCAGCCCTGTGACTCTCTGACTGTTGCAGACCGTGGAAGCCGCCGTGTTGTTGCCCGAGAAGGGGGATTTCTCTCAGCTGGGTGTGAAGAAACAAGGGCTGCACTTTGTCACAGCTGGCAGCAAAGGTGAGGCAGTGCCACTGCCACGTTTGGGGGCTGTGATTGCTGGGATGGGAGTTCTTTGCATTGGGCTGGAGAGCAGAGCCTGCTCCCGAGTTCCTCGGGGATGAGCAGGATGGGTCAGACACGCTCTGAAACATTTAACACTCAGATAAATTTATCTGCATAAAAATATACTTTCAAACCTGTAAATACATATAAATATATTCCCAAACTGCAGTGAAGTTTGATTTAGACTGAAGAAGCACTGTGGCTTCTCATCCCACTGCAGTCAGATCCCTGCCCGGTCCTGCCCTGGAGCTGCACAGCTTTTCCCGAGGGCAGCGCCTGGGCAGTCACTGTGTGAGTCTGGCTGTGACAGAGGATGTATCCCGTGGCTCTTGCAGGCATCCTGAGGGTGTGGGAGGTGGCCAGTGCAGGCTGTGTGTACACCCAGCCCGTGCCCTTCTCGCCGCGGGAGGAGCCGAGCGAGCGCAGCCTGTGCCAGTGCCTGTGGGTGCCCGCGCGGGGGGAGCTCGTCACCGTGTCCCTGGAGCACAACGTCGTGTTCTACGAGGCACAGACCCTCCAGCTCCGCAAGCAGGTGACAGCCCCAGCCTTCTTTTGCCTTTATCCGTGGTTTGGGATCAGCTCTGCTCCTAACCAAAGCTCTGTCCCTTGTCCCCGGCCTGTTCTGGAATTGTTCCTGTCTCTGGGCTGTTCTGGTTCCAAACCAGAAATTTCACTGGTGGGGCTGTTTGGGGGGAGTTTTGCACAGAGACCGACGTAAGAACCAGAAAGCAGAACAGGCCCAGGCAGAAATCCCTCCTGTGCTCCAGCTTATGTGTAAAAGAGATCCCTACACCCAGCATTAAATGCGAGATCGCAGCACTGCAGCTTTTCCCTGCTGAACTGTTCCCATTCCAGCTCGCTGGGTACAACGAGGAGGTTCTGGATGTGAAGTTCCTGGGCCCTGGTGACTCCCACATTGTTGTGGCCACCAACAGCCCCCAGCTGAAGGTGTTTGAGTTGGCAACGTCCCACTGCCAGATCCTCTACGGCCACACAGGTGGGTGCTGGCGCTGACCCGGCTGGGAGAGGGGCAGGGGTTCCCTTGTCCAGCTTCTCTTGGAGCTCTTGTGGAGGCTGGAACCCCTTGAGCAGCATCACAACAGGTTTGGGAGTTGTGTGGAGAAAGGATATATCCCATTGTCCCTGTCACTGGCAGTGACATCAGTTTAATTTGGAGCTGAAGGGGTGTGAGTGACACTCGCTCCGCAGGGATTGTGAATGTCCTGTCCCAGTGTCCCAGACCTGTCCCCAGGACTGTGGGCTCATCAGCTCACACATTCCTGTTGTCCCATTGCAGTACTTCTGTGCATCCACCTGTTTTGTCTCCTTCTGTTTAGAAACAATTATGGCTTTGGATGTCTTCAGGAAAGGCCTGATGTTCGTCACCTGTGCCAAGGTGTGTCACTGCTCTTCCTTTAATGCAGCTCTTCACTGTACTGACCTTTATGGGCAAAATTGTACCACTTTTAGCACTCTGGAAAGGGCCTTTTATTCACACAATTCCTGTCTGCTGCATCCCCCAAAGATAAGGTTCTTCACTGTCCCTTTTTAATGTTGTCCCTGGGAAATCAATTGTATTTATCAGCCTGAAGGAGATGGTTCCTTCTCCAGGCATCTGGGTCTGGAATTAGAGATCAGAGAAGTTGTTAGTGTGGGACTGATGGGAGCTTCTGTGTTGGAAGAAAAGGTGCCAACTGCCCTGATACTCCCAAAAATAAACCTCTGATAGACCCCAAAATAAATGTCCACTCTGGAACCCCAGGCTGGAGGTTCATCCTGTCTGGCTGTGCGTCCTCACCTGCTCTGACAAAGGCAGGCAAAGGTTCAAGCTGCAAAATTCGGGACCAGTCAGGCTGGGGATGTGGTGAGAGCCCAGGGGAGCTGATCTCTTGTCAGAAAATCAAGCAGTTTCTGTGCTCTCCCCCACAGGACAGGAGCATCCGTGTCTGGAGGATGGGCAAGGCTGGCAGGGTGGTGTGTGTGGCACAGGGGCTGGGCCATGCCCACGGCGTGGGCGCTGTCGCCTGCTCCAGGTAACACAGGCAGGCTGTCCCTTCGTGGAGATCCTGCTCATGGAGGGGAAGGGCCTTTTCTCCTGTGCAGGGGAAGCCACTGATTTGCCTCCTCGATGTTTTTTGTTCCTCTCAGAATGAAGGAAAGCTTCGTAGTCACCAGCAGCCAGGACTGCACCATCAAGATCTGGAACATCCCGGAATCCCTCACTTCCAAAGCAAAAGCAGCCTCGATCTCCAGCCCAGAAACCCTCCATGCCAGAATGACTGAGAGGGGCCATAACAAGGTCAGGCTCCCCCTGAGCTCAGAACGTGCCTCTGGCACTTAAATCTCCCTCTCCCGTGTTCCCCCTCCGGTCATTCCTGGATGTGCTCTGTGCTCCTGTTCCCCCCCCCAGGACATCAACAGCGTGGCAGTGTCCCCCAATGACAAGCTGCTGGCCACGGGCTCGCAGGACAGGCTGGCCAAGCTGTGGTCCTGCTCCGACTGCTCCTTGCTGGGGGTGTTCTCGGGGCACAAACGGGGCATCTGGTGCGTGCAGTTCTCCCCCGTGGATCAGGTCCTGGCCACCTCCTCGGCAGATGGGACCCTGAAGCTCTGGGGCCTTCGGGACTTCAGCTGCCTGAAGGTGAGGGGAGCTCCTGCCCCTGCTCCAGGCAAAGCCCTGGGGTTGATCCTTTGGAAACTGAGCTTCCTTTCTGCTTCCCAGACCTTTGAAGGCCACGATGCCTCAGTGCTGAAGATCATCTTCGTGAGCCGAGGGGCCCAACTGCTCAGCAGGTTCGTGCCTGTCCCGGGGGTCTGGGGGAGACCCACAACTGATCAGGAGGGAATCTCTTGGCTGACCAAGTCTTGTGTCCAAGGAGTCCTTGGAAAGACTGATAGGAAGGTGCCATATTTAGGCCAAGCTTTCTACAGGGGCTGAATGAATCCTCTTCTCCAGTTATTCCGTGGATTCTGTTTGTCTGCTGTGCATTGCTGGGCTGGGGACACACACACAGGAGGCAGAGCTAAGGGTGCATCTTGCCCTGCACATTTTGTTTAATTCTGCTCCTGTTTGGAAGGCACTGGAATGGGACAAGTTTATCTGATATTTGAGGTGGGGGCAGAGCAAGAATGGATCTGTCCAGTGATTTTTTAATTTTTTTTGTTGTGTTTCTCTTCCAAAAGTGGATCTGATGGTCTCTTAAAACTCTGGACAATTAAAACAAACGAGTGTGTGAAGACATTAGATGGTCATGAAGATAAAATCTGGGGTCTTCACTCCAACAAACAAGATGACATGGTGGTGACAGCCTCCAGTGACTCCTGTATCACACTCTGGCAGGTACAGCACGGGGGAGTCCTGACTCCTCTCGGGGTTAAAAATCAGGATAAACAGAGAACTCAGGATGCCAGTGGCTTGTTCCTCATGTGGCCCCATTTTCTGCACTTTGGAATTGGGTCAGTAAGGCTTATCTTGGGGGTTGGGGTTATTTTTTGGCCAGACTGTGTTTCCCCAGCAGCAGATGAGCCCCAGCAGCCTCAGGCACTGGTGGCTTGGAAGGAGGTTGGGAGTTGCTGGATTTAACCCTTAAATTACTTGGCCTAGAGATCTTGCTGCAGAACCTGGTCTCCTAATCACTCGATGGCTCAATAAAAATCTGTGTGTATTAAAGCAAGATTTGATAAACTTTTATCCTGTGTTTTTATAGGATGTCACTGAAATTGAGGAGAAAGAAGCACAAGCTAAACAGGAGGAGCAGATTATGAAGTGAGTTGGTCTTGTGCAATTAAGAGCTGTGAAAGGCAAACTGTCCAGTGGAACTGCCCACACCTGGAGCCATCCAGCTCCATCTAATCCCAATATTTAACGAGAGCACCGAGGCATTTATTGACAGGCACCACTGACCCGTTGGCACGACCCCCCTGCACGCTGTTACTGCCAAATCTGCTGCTTTTTGTGCAGTGCTTGTTCCCACCACTCAAACACTGGTCTCACTCTCGACCCTGGTTTGTTTTTCAGAGAGCAAGAGCTTTCCAACCTGCTCCATGAGCACAGGTACCTCCGAGCCCTGGGCTTGGCCATTTCCCTGGATCGGCCTCACACCGTGCTGACGGTGGTCAAGGGTGAGTCCGTGTTCTGCTCCGAAGGCATTTTCCTGCCCTCTGCTTTCCAGAACACTCTTTCCAGGCTCCAAGATCTAATTATTAGTCTGAAAGCCTCAGTGTTCCCTCTCTCTTTCCTGGACTCTCCCTCCTCTCTCTGCAGCCATCCTTAAGGAACCCGAGGGGAGAAAGCACCTGGAAGAGAACATTGTTCGGCTCCGGAAGGATCAGAAAGGTTTGTCACAACGTGGTTTTGAGTGTTGGAAGCTTCCAGGTCAGGGGCTTGTTTTTTCTCCACTGGAATTAAGAATCATAAAATAGAACTGTGGGATGGTTTGGGTTGGAAGGGCCTTAAAGCTCATCCAGCTTCATCCCCTGCCATGGAACATTCAGGGACATTAGGCCTCGCCATCCCACACGTTTAGGGTGTGATGGCTCAGGGAACAGTTCTGTCTGGAATTATTTTGTCCCTCTGGGCTCGTCAGGGGAGCTGAACCTCTGTAAGACCCAAGACATGACTGTCCCTCCCCCACAGAGGCCGTGCTGGCATTCCTGGTCACTTGGAACACCAACTCCCGGAACTGCCATGAGGCCCAGGCTGTCCTGGAAATCCTCCTGAAGCACGAGGCACCCAACAGTCTCCTGCAGTTCTCGGGAATTAAACCTGCTGTGGAGTCCCTGCTGCCCTACACGGGTGAGTCGCTGTGGGGCCGGGCCTGGGGTCTCCTCCTGTGGCCTGGAGCACAGAATCCTGGAATGGTTTGGCTTGGAAGGGACCTTAAAGCTCAGCTAATCCACCCCTGCCATGGGCAGGGACACCTTCCACTAGCCCAGGTTGCTCCAAGCCCCGTCCAACCTGGACTTCAGCACTTCCAGGGATGGGGCAGCCACAGCTTCTCTGGGCAACCTGTGCCAGGGCCTCCCCACCCTCACAGACAAGAATTCCTTCCCAATATCCCACCTATCCCTGCCCTCTGGCAGTGGGAAGCCATTCCCTGTGTCCTGCCCCTCCATGCCTTGTCCCCAGTCCCTCTCCAGCTCTCCTGGAGCCCCTTTAGGCCCTGGAATGGGTTCTCAGCTCTCCCTGGAGCCTTCTCTTCTCCAGGTGAACCCCCCCAGCTCTCCCAGCCTGGCTCCACAGTCCATGGACGTGGGAAACGTTTGCACCCTGTTCCAGGGAGCTCTTTCCCACTGCCCTGATCCCTCCTGTCCCTGCAGAGAGGCACTTCCAGAGGCTCAGCCGGCTGCTCCAGGCCTCCATGTTCATCGACTTCATGTGGCAGCACATGAGGTTGGGGGACACGGCCCAGCAGGACAACGGGACCCCGTGACCCTCCTCCCACCGCTTCCTCTCTCCAAAGGGGGGGAGCCTGAGCTCCTTCCCACCGGGATGGTAACTGTATTTTTAGTTCCTGTGTTTTATAATAAATTTTTAAATGTCAATTTGTAAAAGAAGCCCAGCATCCAATCTCCTCGGGGCCCAAAGAGAGGAAAGGGTCGTTTCTTTGGCCGAGCTCTGGTTTGTATTTTCACACCTCGAGTTTTCAGGCCCAGACACTCAAACATCATTTAGTTTGGAGGAAAGGCAGAATCCCAACAAGTCGTTGGGTTTTACTGGGATTTAAAAACTTTATGGAGGTGGGAGGCACTCCTGGCAATGTCATGTCATGTCCCCAAGCCCAGCTGGGCCCTGGGTGTCGGTCACTGTTGTGCCATTAAATATTTTCTTTGCTTGAGCAAAGTGCAGCCTGGATCAAGGCAGGTCTCTCACCCGTGCCCACACCAAATTTAGCACCTGGGAGGCAGAGAAGAACAATTTTAATTCCCCAGGTAGCAAATTTTTAAGGTGTAAAACTCAGACTTCAGAGATGTTTACATGTATTTTATTTTAGGACAAAAATGTATAAAATTCAGAACGACACAAACATCTCATAAGTTGTTTCTAAAAAATATTAACAGGGAGAATAACTACAATCAAGGCCAGCAATGTATAGAAAAGTCCTCATTTTCCTAGAACTATTCACCTAACAAATCTAGCAGCAAGTTTAGGATGAGAATTGCTGGGAGTTTTAGTAACTGCCAGACTCCCTTGGAAGGGGAATATTTTGTCCATAAAAGTGACCTGTGTCCCTGTCCCCAGGTGGGACACAAGCTGTGACACCCTTGTTTGTGGCTGGAGGGAACAGCCAGGGATGAGGTTCCTTCCCAGCAGGTTTTTTGTTCTCACAGCCATTCAGCAGATGCAGCCAATCCATCTGGTGGCCTCTCCACCACCTAAATTGATCTAAGCTGTAAAAAACCAAACTCCACACCAACACCAAAACCTAAACAGTTTAAATATATATATATATATATGTTAAATATGGGGTTCAGGTAAATGACATCACAGCTGCATCATCCCTTCCCTCCCACAATCCAGTAACTGTAGCTTGGGCTGCCATTGGTGACTCTGAGTCACTCTGGTGCCACTTCTCTGCCCTCTGGGGTGGCTGCAGCTCACCTGGTGTGGGGAATAATGCAACAGTGACTGTGAAATGTTCAACTGTTCACATCCTGCATGGCAGGATGAACACCTGCCTGAGGGAGAACTTACTGAATTCCAAGTGACCTCTAACTTAGGAGCTGCTGGATGGATCCGCAGCTGCCCTGACTCCCCTGAGGAGTTAAACCACTCAATCCTTTCCCAGTAACTCCCTTCTGGCTCCCAGTCTCCCTGTGAAGCTGCAGCAGGAATGGGTGCTGCCCAAGGAGGGGATGGATGTCAGTGGGTGTATTCCTTGGGATCCAGTGGTGTCCTTGGGAAGCCACAGTCCAGGGGCTGATGTTCCCACGGGGCTCTGGTGAGGGGTGCCTGGCTCTGCCCGGGCTGTGTCCTGTCCCCTGTCCCCTCTAGTGCAGGCTGGGCACCAGTGCCTGCATGCCAGGCCGGGGGCTGTGTCCCTGCAGGGCCCGTTTGGTGACGGTGCTGCACCTCTGCAGGATCTCGTGGGCCGAGGGCCGCGCCGGCACCTTGGGGACGCTCGTGGCCAGGTCGGGGTCGGGCAGGGGTGAGCTCAGGTCGGCTGCAGACGACTCCACGAAGCCAGAGTCGTTCCTGTCCCTGAGGGTGAGGCGTGGGGACTTGGTGCTGTGCGTGGCCAGGGCAGAGGAGCACCTGTCCTGCTCCACTTCGGGCAGAGAGCGGGACAGGTCGGGCTTCCAGCTCAGGTGGGCGCCCTGCTCGCTGCTGCTGCCAGAGCTCAGGGAGGAGCTCTCTGACTCCAGGTCCGAGGTGGAGCTGGCCCTGGGCAGGGACCTGGATCTGCTCCTCTGAGAGCTCCCATCTTCTTCATTCAGGTGGAAGGAAGAGCCAGGCTGTGCCCTGGGCTGTGCCACGGCCTGACCCCGGGGCTGGGGGGCCGACAGGGAGGAGCAGAGGTTTGGGGTGGAGACGTTGAGCCCAGAGTTGATGATGGTCTGCAGCTTGTGGTGAGGGTTCTTGTAGGGCCGGAGGCACATGGAGGGCATGTAGCCTGTGCTCCCATTGTACCTGAGGGCAGGGATGGAGGGAACACTGAGAGGATCCCTTCGGCCAGTTTGGACCAAGGGGAGGGAGCAGAGCAGGGCAGGGGTGTGAGGACTGGGAAACCATCCCTGGCCAAGGACATTCAGCTCACATGGCAAGGAGGGGGCACAGCAGGTAACCAGCTCCCTGGGGAGGCAGGGCTTTGGAAAAGCCTCCTTACCTGATGAGCCACCAGCCGTTGTCGGAGCTCCTGAGCACCTCCACGACCACCCCGCTGTGCAGGGAGAGCTCATCCGCCTTCTGTGCCTCGTAGGGCTGCACCACGAAGTACAGGCTGCCTGGGGGAGGAGGAGGAGGTGGTTGGATCTGCCCCGTGGAGAAAGTGCCCCCACCCTGTGACAGAGCAGCTCAGCTGTGGGGCAGCGTCCCTGAGAGGGACTGGTTGCTCAGGGACCCCAAACTGAGTGATTTGGGTTGGATACGAGGAAGATGTTTTTTCTACGATGAGGGTGGGGAGGCCCTGGCACAGGTTGCCCAGAGAAGTTGTGGCTGTTCCATCTCTGGAAGTGTCCAAGGCCAGGTTGGACAGGGCTTGGAGCAACCTGGGCTAGTGGAAGGTGTCCCTGCCCATGGCACGGGGTGGGACTGGATGACCTTGAAAGGTCCCTTCCAACCCAAACCATTCTGTGATTCCATGGCAGAGCTGACCAGAAGAGTCAGAGCTCCAGAGATCCAGGTGGGGACTCCAAGCAGTGGTTAAAGTGGTGGGGTTTTGCAGAACTCATTTTTTGAAGGTGTCCCAGAGAGCCAGGAGCAGACTTACCCTCCTCATTTGAGCTAAAGGTGTTCTGGGTGTCCTCGTGGACATCAAGCTCTTCCAGGTACGAGGCTGGGAACCAGGCAATCTGCTTGTCTGCATTTTCCACCAGCCACCACCCTACAAAGAGCAAAACACCCAGTTTTTAACAGCCTGCAAGTTGAGAGATGACCATAATCCCTGGATAAGGGACACGAAAGACAGGAGGGACATTCACTGTCCCCCCACGTAAGCACACAGGTACAAACACCTGCACTCCTGACACTACCCTGGCATTTGCCAGGCTGTGAATCAACCTGCCCCTTTCTGCCCTGACACTGAAGAATCCCCTCAAACATACCAGTCATGTCCTTGATTAACACTTCAACAATTTCCTTCTGAGCCACTGTGAACATCCTGTTCTTGGTGTCCTTGGTTTCAAAGCTCTCGACGCAGCGGTAGCTCTGGGACGCCTGGGGAAGGGTGATGGAGATGGGCTGCTGCTTCTTTTCCCTTCTGAATTCTGATGGCATGATCACAACACTGCAAAGCAAAGGTTTGCATCAAAAACTCAGGTGGAAGGTTGAGTTTAGTATTAGTTTTGGTAAAATCATTTATGCAGTAGCTTTAGGCATCAGAGATGACACAAACCTAGATTAAAGCACCCAGCAGAACTTCCCTGCTCTGCTGCCCTCGTGTAACTGGTGTTTCTCTTCCACCCACATTCCACAACATTTCTGCTTCGTGACCAAACAAAAAGGACAACTCAGATTTCACACCTGTTTTCAGGGAAGGAGGGGTCGAGGTCCTGGGTCTGAGCCTTGAAAAACTGATTCACGTCTCCCCCCTGGGAGATTCTCGCGTCCATTTTCAGCAGCTCCTGGGAGTAGGTTTCCAGCAGTTTCAGGATCTCCAGGCACCTGTTCAGCTTCCCACCCTTCCTGTGCTGCATAATCACACCTTTAAAAGAACAAGGGCACAGCTGGTGTAAGACAACAGCGGGTCCGGGTGTCTTTGGGAGCAGCATCTTTTGCCTGAACATGGGGTGTCCTCGCCCACCATCCTTCCTGCCCCGTCCCAAACTGTACAAAGTCACTGTCCCTGCCTCCCTGTCCTTTCTAAAAGCTCCTGATACAATTTTTTAACATCTAAAATTTATCTTTTTGTCACATGTAAATATTTCAAGAAGGTCTGTGCAAATATTTAAAGTGTAACACTAATTTCCCAAGTGCAATTATCTAATAAAAAAGCCTTTCTGGGTTATTCTAAGTCTGTACTAGACCCAAGCATGTTGATATAACCCAGTGGTGCTGTGCCAGGAGCAGGAGAGAGCTCTTAACCTGTTCCAGAGGAAGGTCAGACTTGGAGACTTCAGTTTGTGTCCCCAGTTTTGACTGTCCTGTCCACTCACATGTTTGTTGGTCCATCAGAGATTTATTCTTACCTTTAAACCTGGGTAAACTCCTGAGGGAGCCACTCTCCATGGGGAATTTTCTCTTCAGCTCTTTCTAAAAGAGAGGAGAAGGAGAGAACAGTGATTCCTCACAGCCCTGACACACAGCTGGGCTCCTTTTCCTCCCCAGGATGGGAATCCTGACATTTCAGGAACTGAAAACTCACTTACATGGAATTTCTTGAAGTCTTCAAATGTCCGGTAGATGAGAATGTTGTTCTGGTCTGACCAAGTCACGAACATCATGTAGTTCTGGGAAAAGAAAAGGGAAAAGAGGTGCAATTTAATCCCAGTGTTCCATCTGAGATGCTTCCAGGCAATCAGCGTTTGCCACGAGCTGTGGGTCAGTTCTGGCTTCAGGCTGAGGGTATCACATTAAAAAATTCAATTAAACATTAAACCCACAAAAATGTTTCCTTAATTTTAGGGTTCCAAATGGGTAATCATAGATGAAATCAGGAGGATTTTATGGTGCTGTGACAGAAAGAGAGCAAAATCCAAGATAACAATTTTTTTATGGTATTAAGCCCATTACAAAAATCCCTTTTGTCCTAGATCCCAAGGCTCCTAATCCCAACGCTGTGGGGAATGAGCAAACACCCCTAGAAGAGTAAGTCCAAAGCCCTCTAGTTTCCTAATTTATAATATATTTCAGGAGAAAAAAAAAAGCCAAAAATTACAAAAATTAACATACCTTCTGCTTCCTGCATTGCATGAAGCCAACAGCCTTCACATCCACGGGGTACCTGCTGCAGCTCATCTTCCCCACGACTGCTCCTCCCTCACTGGGAGCTGGAGGGATGTGTCCTGGAGGGATGGGAGCTGGAGGGATATCCTGGAGGGATGTGTCCTGGAGGGATGGGAGCTGGAGGGATGGGAGCTGGAGGGATGATCTAGAGGGATATCCTGGAGGGATGGGAGCTGGAG